AGTTTTTTTTTAATTTTTTGTATTTGTCTTATTACTCATGAAGTAATTCTCTTAATAAAATGAAGGACAAGATTGTCTAAGTTAAAAAAAAATATAGAGTTGAGTTAATAGAAATCAAGCAAATTTTTTCTAAGTAAATTTTTTTAAACTTTAACTAACAATAACTTAGCAAAAACTTTATTAAAATTAATAAAAATTTTTTTAAAATAAATATTACAAATTGTAAAATTTATTTAAAAAAAATTTTATTAATTTGATAAAACTTTTGTTGAGTTATTGTTGTTTAAAAATTTCAATAAAAACAATTTGCTTGATTTCTATTGACTCACCTTCATATAATAAATATGTTACTGATTTTTAGTTTATTCAGAGTTTAGGGTTTATTATACAATTTGAAGGTTTAAAGATATCAGTTAAATAATAAATAAGATAGTAATTAAAAAGTAAAAAAAAAAATAATAAAAGAAAATCATTGTTCAATAAACTTTTAATTTTAATATTTTGAAAATTCTACTCCTAATATCTTTCTTATATTCAAGATATTGAAGTCAGAAGAATCTTTATTAAAGTTGAAAAAAGCTTTTTAAATATATTATTAATTTACTAACAACTACTGCATTCTACCTACAACTCTGCTCTCAATATTGTTCTCAATTCTTTCTACAATTCTTTATCTCCTATCTGTTACAGATAGTAAACAATCTTACTACAATTTTGATAACACTATTGCAATAGATTGTCTATTATACAACCTATATCTTAATTCACTTTACAATTTTACTAACAACAACTAGTTTCCTCCTAAATTAGATTTACCTTGTCTTATACTAAATGGTACCCAATATAGAAATTAAACAAATAGAAATAAAATATATAAATAAAAATATAGAATTTATTATAAGCATCTAAGCTCTAGAAAATATATCATGAGGGAACCTGTAACAATGTTACCAATTTATTATTTCTATATATATTTTTCTATGTAGAAATATAGCTTTCTTCAATTCAGTTTGAGATAGGAATTAACTTTTTAATTAAAATTTTTTGAATGAAAAGCTATGTGCTAAATTCTTTACAATTTTTTTTTCTATTTACAGAGAGGCTTTGTTCAGTAATTGTTGGTATAACTTCAAAACTTGTAATCCTTATCCTTTTTATAATTTCATGAATTTGTTGTTGCTTTCATTATAAACACCAAAAGGATAGAGAAAATTTTAAATAAAACAAGTATATTATTAATAAATAATTTGATTTGATAGTATATTTGTACCTGTTGAATGCATCTAACAGATTTGGAATTATACTCCTGCAAATACTAAAGGGATGTATCTTTTTTATTAATTATTACTTATACTCTTGAAGACACTGTAGAAATTTATTATAATAAATTTTGGTTAAAAGATCTGCTGATTATTCTAAATAAGAATCAGTTTATATAACAAAAACTTCTGTTAATATATTCCTGTATCTACTATCTTTTCATGTCCTTTGTTTGATTATATTTACTATGAATTATGAAATATTTTTTATTCAATTTTACTTTTATATAGACAAAACTAAAGGTTTCACAACAACAAAAAGTAAAAGTTTGAATTTAAACTTTAAATAACGAAATGATGAAAGGTGATGAAGGTTGCAAAACTGGTAAAACTATCAAAAGTTAGTAAAACTGGTGAAACTAATTAAGCTAATGAAAATAATAAAAGTGTATTAGCAAATCTAGGAAGTAAGCATGATTATGTTTTATTTTTTGTTAGAAAAATAATTAACATAATGATGAATAATATGTCTATTCATAAGCTGATATAAATCAATTACTTTAGAGTACTTTTTAAAAAGTCTAGTATTATATACTAATAGAACAAAAAATCTGTGTAGATTATTTCGTTAGACTGTTGATAGACTGCCTTTAAAATAATCTCTAATAATCTTTAATTTAAGTAGTATTAGATTAGTAGTGACTTTTTGAAATAAATAATGAAATAAAGCTCTTTTTGAATTTTAAACTATGATAAAACAGTTTCTAATAAATAAATAAATAATTTTTTTTTAATGATTGAAGTCTCAATATTTAAATAAAACAGCTTGTCTGTAATAAAAATCTGAGTTTAAAATACTATCTAATATCAAACATATTTGGATTTATTAGTTTTTAAATGTACTAGATTTATTAATTATCAATAGAAATTTGAGTCTATAGATAAAAATATGCTATGAATAAGGCTTTGTTAGTAGCAGTGTTGGAAATTCTATGTTCTCAATTTTATAATTTTTTATTAATAAAAACATAAAAAAAAATTTTTTTTTGAAAGGTCTGGTAATCTTAGTGTAGTAGTTAGGCTACCAGACTGCTATGCAAGAAATCTGGAGTTCAAATCCCACTGTCGATGAATTTGAATAATTACCTGAACCTTTATACCCAACTTACAGTAAACTCTATCTGTTTCTGGAGTTGTAACTCTGTAAATTATGTTATACCAATATTATTTAGATATTAGAAGTGTAATATGATATTCGAAGAGTATAATATTATATGAATAAATCTTAATAGAATCTATGAGCAGAGGACCTGTATAGTAGAAATCCTGAGTTGGTAAAGTAGTATGGCTTTCAACAGTCATACTAGCTAACACTTGATTCAGAAAAAAAACTATTTTCAAAAGATGCAGATTGAGTCAGGTGCATATAAATCTATTCTACAGAGAAGATCAGTAACACCAACTTGGCTTAGTAGCTAATTGAATTAAGAGGATCTGCCTTGTAAAATATCTGAGAAGATAGATACAGAAAACTGGTGGAGAGCTACAGTAAAAACTGGAGTTGTACAAATATCTACAAGAGTCTAAGCTAGGCGAATTTGTAAAATAGGTACAGACCACTCTAGTAGATTTACTTCTGAGATTAACTAGAGCTCTGCAGCTTACAATATGTTGAGCATATACATCTCAAGAGAATCTAAGCTATGCAGTAAATAGATCTACAAGTGAGCCAGCTAATTTAAACAGTTAGCTATAGTAGTAATGTTAGTTTAAGATAAGAAGAAAGGTTAATGATCAGAGTGTTTAAATAGGTAATTCACAGGCAGATTGTAGGTATAGTAGCATAGTGTAGAACCAACAGATGGTCGATTGTCTGTATGGCAGACTACTTAAATTAGACAATGACTAAAGTTGTACATGTGGCTTGTTGTATACTCATCATGTAACTGTAAAATCTTAGGAAACTATTCATGTGATAGTTCCTAATAACAAACTAATAAAATCTAATTGGTCAAAGAAGTGGCCTTAATAAACAAAAAAAAAAAATTTTTTTTGAGAACATTAAAACCAGTCTGAATTTCTAACACTGGTTAGTAGTGAATACTGTTCCTGTCCCACTATATATAAATCTATCAGCTATCTATTCTTTATAAGTGTATATAAATTTTTTAGTACGTGTTTTAACGAGTTCATAAACTTCATCTATGTGATTTTCGTTTCTTAATAATATAATAAAGTAGCGAATTTAAAAATTATGTAATTTGATTCACGAATCAAAATAACGAAAGTTTTTCTATTCAGTCTGTCATCTGGATATGCCATCCACAACCTAAATTGGCATTGTAATAGTCCAGAACTTGCACGGAGGTCTGGTTACACTAAGGTTTGGGACTAACTAATCTATACAAATAATCCGAAAGCCCAACTAAGGCGGGTATACCTTGGTCCAAGTTTAGGGTTACTTGGATAAGTATTTGATTGTTAAAGGTTGGGTCTTTGGATTCTCTTGGTCACATTATCGTGAAGTCACGTTTTGATTTAGGTATCACGAGGGTTCAAAATAATTGGTGGGTCGAATTTAACAATTACGATATTCGATCAATTGTTAAATCAATTTAAAGGTACTATAAAAGAGGATGCGATATAACAATTTGGGCACTTTTACTACTAAAAACTGGTATTAACAAGAAAATATCACGGGGACAAGAGTTAACGAAAAACGATTTTAACGATTTAAAGAGAAACTTATTAAGAGATAAACATTTCTATTTAAAATTATTCAAGACTCAGAAGGTTTTCGAACTCTCGAGTTATTTTTTTTTATTAAAGCAAAATTCGAGGTACTTATATTCAAAAATCTTACATATCTCAAAGATATCTAATATATCGAATATAACTAATATCTCAAGTATACCTAATATCTAAAATATAACTAATATCTCAAATATCTTTAATATTGTCACACTCGGAAACGGCGAGTTGTAAAGGTGCTAACCGGTTCTGGTACGGGACTCGAGCTATGGGTTGGTTACACCAGTGTTCAGGTACGAATATTCGAATCAAGTCAATCAATATAAATCTAACAATCAACTCTAAGTGGAAGGCTGAAAGAGGTCGTGGAGGATTTGATCCGGGTTTAGGATTGTTTGGAGGATTATTCTGGGTTATGGAGGTAGGTATTTTCAGGTCCTTGGTTCTTGATTCAAGTTGTTTCCGTTGCGAATATTCGATTCTTTATAAAGATGATTTCTATCACGTGATCTGGTTTATTCTCTTGATTGGGTAGATAGTTTAACAATGATGCGGAGCTTATCAATAAAACTATCTAAGGGACGATTGATTATTGTTTAATTTGATCAGGATTTTTGTGTGTACTAACAAGAAATAAATACGTTAATTAAATTTTTTTTACTTTAATGATTGTCGTTATATCTTTGTTTTCATTTAGCAATGCTTTTTTATATCGAGAAATATTTTTGAGAAGGCGGTAATTTAATCTAGCGAACAAAAGAAATTAATTTTAAATACAATTGTGAAAAATAATTTATCATATCTTACTTGCTTAACGTTCGTGAGCATATTATTTTCATAAATTCGAATTAAAAGTCGTGTTTGAGGTGTTCGGCAACAACCTGGAGATTTGATCTAATTTAACAGAAATCTAAGAAATAATGCATGGTACTACGTCGGAGGGTAGTATTTCCGGGATAGTCAGATTTTGCCTTTTACAGAGTCAGTCGCTCAAGTTAGTGTCATATTTGCCATGGATATGATAGGTTTTCGGATGCCAATTGTTGTTTTAAGTTGGTAAAGGTCAGAAAAAAAAGCCTTAAGCGATTCATGTTGAGTAGTATCTTCTAATAGTTTGATTACTTTCACCAAATCTAGATAGATTATTTCTTCC